CCAGGATCATGACCTGAGCCGAAGGCAGTCGCTTAACCAACTGAGCCACCCAGGTGCCCTGAAAAACAATTTTAGGGGCACCTGGGTGGCCCAGTCTCTTTAGTGTCCGACTCTTAGTATCGGCTCAGGTCTTGATCTCATGGTCCTGGGTTTGAGCCCTGCTTAAAACAAAAGTTTTAATTATGGAAAAAAATGTAAATGAAAAGGTATGAAGGATAAAGGATAATTAATAAATCTCCCATGTACTTATCACCTAGTTTTAAAAATACCAACTCACATCCAATCGGTGTTTATTTTTTCTTCACCCTCTAATTATTTTGAAGCAAATCCTGGACACCTTATTTTATCTGTAATTGTTTGTCTCGCTCTTTAAAAACAAAAAGATTGTATTTATTTATTTGTCAGAGAGAGAGAGCACAGCGGGGGTGGGGAGTAGTGGCAGGCAGAGGGGAGAAGCAGGCTCCACGCTGAGCAAGGAGCCTGATGCGGGCTCGATCCCAGGATCCTGGGATCATGACCTGAACCGAAGGCAGACACTTAACCAACTGAGCCACCCAGGCACCCCTGTCTCTTTTTTTAAAAAATATAAGAACTTGAGGGGTACCTGGGTGGCTCAGTCAGTTAGGCATCTGACTCTTGATCTCAGCTGAGGTCCTGATCTCAGGGTCGAGGGTTCAAGACCTGCATTGGGCTCCACACTGGGCATGGAGCCTACTTAAAAAAAAATAAGAACTTGCAAAATCATTGATTCTTAATTAACAGTGTTATCCAGTATCTAATCAGTGTTCAATATGCCATTAGAATCACTTCACCCACTTATGGAAATATGCAGCTGGGAAAAGTTACTAGCTTAAGGAATTACAGGTGGGACGTTTTGATTTATTGGAGACTAGCACCCACTTAGCCAGGCCCACTGTTCACTATGTTGTATGAATTCTGAATACTTTTTTCTTTAAAGATTTTTTTATTATTTTATTTGAGAGAAGAGAGTGTGAGCGAGAGAGCACAAGCTGGGGAGGGGCAGAGGGAGAGGGAGAAGCAGGCTTCCCGCTGAGCAGGGAGCCCAATGCGGGGCTCGATCCCAGGACCCTGAGATCATGACCTGAGCTGAAGGCAACTGCTGAACCGACTGAGCCACCCAGGCGCCCCAAATTCTGAATATTTTTAATTGTGCTTTGGCCTAACTTGACTGAATTTTGGCAAAGGCTTTTTGTCGCCATTCTTCCATCAAAACAGCAGCGCTGGGGACAGCGCACAGAGCCTGGAACCAGACAGGTTTTGAGTTCAAAGCCTGACTCTGGCTTTTAGTAGCTGTGTACTTGGCAGAGATACTCAATCTCCCATTCTCAGGGTCCTGGTCTGGAAAACGGAGTGGCGGGCCCCACCCTCATGGGCAATGAGGGTCTTCTAGCAAGTGCTGAATTTCAGCTTGGCATCTGTTAAGCACTCCTCAAATGTTAAGCCCTTCCCTAATTGACCTGTTTTCCTTCCCAGTCTAAGCCAGTGACACTTCTCTGAAAAGGTGAAAAGGACGGGAACTTCCTTCCCAGGGAGAACTCCGACCACATCCCTTTCCGGGTACCCAGCTCCTGTGCTTCCTGAAATTCTTGGTTTGCTCCTTAACTCCTGCTGCTGTTGCATGGGTGCTCTCTCCCTCTGTTCTCTCCTGAAATCTCCCCAGGGCTTGAGAAAAATGGTCACTTGGTCTCTGTGGCCTTCATGCCCCCCCCCCCTTCCGCCAGCATTAGAGAGATGGGTCCCCTGTGGTTGCTCTGTATTGGGAGCTGCCTCGGGGCTTGGTAACTGCCCTTCAGGTCAGGGCATGCAAAGAGGTCAGAAGCCACTGGGCGTTGGCACCCAGGAAAGAATTAGGTTGGTGAAACCATTGCTTTCATTGCCAGGGGCTATCACGCAACAGGTTTATCCGCTCCTGAGGGTGCAGAGGTGGTGGCTCTTGAACCTCTAGGCATTCTCTTGCTTTTTCTGAACGAGGGATGTTGGGGTTTAGGCACTCCAGGCTCTGCTCAGAGTAGAGTGCCCTATTACCTATAGGGCAAAGGTACTGCTCAACCCTAGTGGAAGCTGATGCACTGGAGTGTGGACTGGGGCCCTGGGCCAGACCATAACCCTTTAGTTGTCAAGGGAGGCAGGGGAGCGGGACTGTAGGCGTTGGTATTTCCCCACTGTTTCTGCAGCAGTGACGTCTCAATATTGTGAACGACGGTGTTACCGTCTCACGGTGAGAGCGCTCATTCCAGCCCTTCTGTCTCCTCCGTGCTCGTCTGGATACCTGTAGGCTCCTGAGGACCCACTCCCAAGTCAGGCGCCCTCATTCACACAGCTTTTCTCTTGAAGTCCTCCCAAAAGCTCTGTCAGTTTCCACAGGAAGAGACAAGGTATGAGCCAAGGAGTACCCCATCAAATGCTGTAGCTTCTCTCTGGACCCCCAAGCCCTCAGCATACCAACCGGGTCTAGCTTGCACCTGGCCTTCCATAGTTTGTGGGGCAGATGAGTTCACCGGGGGTCCTGGGAAGGGAGGACTGGGTACAGTTCCCAACATCGCCCCATGTGCTTTGGGCCTGAAAGAACTTGGGTAGCACCATAAGTAATAGAAACCAGGCCAAGGGCTTAAAAGACAAAAGGTCTTCCGGGGCTTCTGTTGTGTGTGTGTCAGGGTTGGGGGCTTGTGGAAAGGAGGTTTGGAGGCCTGAAGGGGTTCCCCAGGGTTGGGTGTGCATGTCCTAGAGGGGTGGGTGAGTCTCTGCCTCTTGGGGGTGGGAGAGGGCTGGGAGGAGGTCTTTTCTTTCATTGGTTGTGTGGCCCTGCCCTCCTCCCCCTCCTTCTCCTGGAACATTCCAGACATTCCAGACTGCCATTGCTTTCAGGATATGGATTAAAACCCCAAACTGAGATTTGATTTCCTCACCCCATCCCCTCCCCAACTTTTCCCTACCCTGAAAAGAAAGCCCCTAAATCTGGGAGTTTGAAGTAGGAGGAGGAGGAGGGTATTTTTGATCTTCGACCTGAGATTACACTAAGGGACAATCTTGAAAGAGCTGTCTTCACACTGAGCCTCCTGCCTGGGGGTTGCTTTAAGCCCTTACTGGTTTGAATTCCCAGGCAGGCAGCCCCTAGAGGGAGTGACTCCTGTCATGGGGCATCAAAGCTAGGTCAGTGTCTTCAGTCTTCCAATGGTGTAACCATCTGTTCCTCGATTCTCCAACAGTTGGACTTTGATTGTGACGGTTCCTGCATTTTCTCAGCCTGTTTGGCTGGGCCAAACACAAAATGAGTGTTATATGGGACATCCCTCACTAGGCTAGATGCCATGGGGCCCCCTCTTTTGCCTATGAATGGAATCAAAGAGAGTGGCCTGGTGTAGGGTCTGACGACTGGACTTGTTTCTTACCCTTGCTCTCTTGTCCTGCAGTGTAGTCTGACGACTTTAGATCAGGTTCATGAACCACCCAAGGTAGAGAGCCATACATGTAGATTCCCTTCAACACGTATCCTCCTTTTACATGAAGTCATTTTGTCCCAGGAAGAGGTTTCCTTTGTGTATTTTATCAGTAAAGACTTTCCCTGCTCAGAGCTGCACAATTAGAAGGGATCTTAGAGACCCTCCAGTTTCCATTTTGCAGCTGTAAGACACTTAAGGTCACAGGGATGGAATGAGTGAGCTGGCCTAGGACAGAGCCAAGAGGGAAACACTTACGGTGAGAGCTTAGCATCTCTTCCTCACGTGTTTTCAACACCCCCCTCCCCTAGCAAGCTAGGAGCTGACAAGGGCCCGGTAGGAACACTGAGGCCTGAAGCTTACATGGCTTAGTCAGATGAAGACCCAATCAGGGGTAGTTTAAGAGCAAGAACTGGATTTTCTTGCTTCCCAGGCCAGCTTTCCCTCATGTTGTTAGAATTTCATTGGACCATGTCCCTGAACTAAGTTTGTGATCAAGGATATGCTGAGACATAAATGACAATTGACCAATGACAGTCAAGTCAATTGAAATGTTGTAAGCCCAGGGATTAGGGCATCGATTTGGGTAGTGAGCAGTTAATTGCCCTGGGAATCAACCTTGAACCTGAAAGCCTTCCTGGGGAAAATTACACTTTTAAGAGGTATTTGAAAGATGGGAAGGAGAAAGAGAAGTCATTTGGAAGGAGGGAAGGTGGCGGTCCTGATGCTGTGTTGTGTGTTAATCGTTTCCACCTTAGTATTCCAAATGCGTCTGTTACTACACTTGAAGTACTTGAAACCCTTTGCTAAGCTCTAATATTATCTAACATCACCTGAAACCACCCTGTGAATAGGTATTATCCCTGTTTTACAAGGAAGGAAAGTGAGCCTCAAAGAAGTGAAATAATTTTAAGATCAGTGCTGTTAAGTGGAACAGAGATTTAAATCCATACCTGTATGAAAAACACTTAATTACTGCACTATTATCCTCCTGTCATTTGTTTGCATGTGTGTCTCTCTCAATAAATTGTGAGCACCTTGAGGCCAGGTACTTTGTCTCTTTTGTTTGTCACCGTGTCCCCAGTATCTAGAACAAAGTATGGTCTGAAGTAGGCAACAGTTAAATGGGTATTGGATTAATGAATGAGGTCTCTGTAGCAGCGTTGTATTCCTAGTGCCTGAAACATGGTGGGAGGTAAGAGGTGGAAAATAGGTGGTTAGTGAAGGAAAGAGCAGGGCGAGACCTGAGCACAGGGACAAAAAAGGCAGGGGTGATTTGAGGGGCGTTATGTTACCCTGGTGCCTCGGGTCTCGGACCTCAGTCTTCCTGACGGCCCTAGCACCGACAGTTTACACTTTGAAGTGGGGCACCCTTCCACCAAATCTTCATTCCCAAAGGTTACCGTTCTTGGATGCTCAGACTTTGGTGTTGAACAGAAGGTAGGGAGATACAGACTGACATAGGGATTAAACACTGCCAGGTCATACATAGGCCCCTGAAGCATCCAGAGCGGTCATTAATCCTGTTCCCTCTAATTTCAGGAGTCGGAAAATTCAGATTCGAAACATCCCACCCCAGCTCCGTTGGGAAGTAAGTGATTGGGGGAAACTCGAGACATGGGGAAGGGGAGACTGGAAAGGAAGCCCGGGCCAGTCTGAGTTGGCAGAGATGACTGGGGAGGTCCACTGGTGGTTTGGGGGTCGGCCAGAGATGCTAGTACTGAGGGAGTTGGTTGGTTCTCATCCTCAGCCCAGGACTACCCATGTTAGTCCTTTGGGCTTGTCCCTGTGATGAGAGGCCTTAGGAAGGTGGGTAGGGTGTTCCCTGAGCCCCGAACTTAGACCCCAGAGGCCCAAGCCTACTTCCAAAAAGGCCCTTAGATGCTTTTTTGTTGTGCTCAAGTACATTCCTGCAAAGATGCCCTGACAGGTTACTGGCAGTTATCAGTACCCTAGAAGGAGTAAGCTAAAACAGGTCATACTACTCAGTCCCCACCTAAGGCTCTGCTGTGCCACCATGCTTTGGGGTGAGGGTGTCCGGTGGCTGGCTTCGTGACAGTTCCTGGGATGCTCAGAATAGCCTTCCTCTCTTCTCTCGTCCATGCTCCTAGGTGCTGGACAGCCTGCTTGCTCAGTACGGTACAGTGGAGAACTGCGAGCAAGGTAAGGGTACAGAGGCAGTGGGCAGGGGGGACGTGGGGGGTGGGTGCTGGAGCAGTTTGGGGGATCTGCTCTGCTTCGTTTTCCACGACCACATCCACCTGGCATACCTACCCAAAGCAGACAAGGCAGACAGACAGAATATGGCACAAAGGGAGATACACACACGGGGGACGTGGGCATGTCGTCCCGGCTTTGGCTGTGTTGCTTCTCTCTGGAACAGGTTTCTCTGTTTAATGAGCAAAAGTCACTCATTTCCAGCGTGGGGTCCCAAGCTCTTAGGGGTCAGTCACGGTCGAAAGAGAGGTCTGAAGGGTTTAGCAGCATGGAAATGGGGCACTCAGCCTGAGTAAATCTGCAGCCCCTTTTCTTTAAAAGCTTCATGATTCTCTATGTTTGGCTGGAATAGTCAACTGGTTATCTCTTTATAGAAGCCCTGATTGTCAGCTACATGTCTTTGGTCAATTAAAAAAAAAAAAAGCAGAGATTTTATTACTGGGCACATAGTGATGGGCAGGCACAGTCTTGCAAGAGTGGGCCCACAGGAGAAATACTAAGAAATCTGGGTCGTAAACTATTTGCTAAGATTTCTGAGGTTTCTCCATTGCTTCAAGTTATAAATAATTTTCAGAGGAAATGAGCTAAAATAAGGATGGTTTTGGTTGACACAAGATAGAGCTTGTCCATTCGAGAAGATACAAGTGGAGTTTGTAGATCTTCAAGAAGCGTCAAGAATCACCCCATCGAGATGTCAATGCTCATCTCCATTTTCTTTGGAAAGGTGCAAGCTAGAAATCACTCTAGATTAAAATACTTGCCTGCACATAGGTAAAGTGCTGAGTCCATCAAACAGGTTCTCCAGCTCTAATCCTGTAGGTTGCCTTTTTATCATAAATGCCAGGACACACTGATAACCATTGCCCGGTACTGCTCATGCGTTAGACTAATGACTGAGGTACTCCTGGACAAATAGCAAGAATGAGTGCTGGCTTGGGAGCACATTGTGAGCCGCCCTGGGAGGCCCCGCAGGAGTCCACGATAGCTCAAATCTGTCTGGGGCCCACCCGGGAGCTGTAACACACCATATCAGGAGGGGAGACCCGTTCCCTGGAGAGAACACAGTGGGAAATGTTTGATTTTGTTGGACAACAGAGAAAGTCTTCTGGTGTCACTTTCTAAGTGAAGTCCTTTCTGTCCACTCTTTAAAATCGCACCCCTTCCCACTACCTCCTTTAGCCCTGATTTTTACATTTCTCCACGGCCATCATCAACCCATCTGATAGGTTAGAGAATTTGCTTATTGTACTTTGCGTGGTCTGCTCCCGGAAGCTCCAGGAAGGCAGAGCCTTGGCTGGTTTCATTCATTACTGTGTTTCAGTTTAACTGGAAAGATTGCTCTTGGCGGAATCTCCCTTTACTCACCACTGTGGTGGGGGGGCTCTGGATGAAGGCCAGAGGGGTTTAGAGTGGTCTGTGCTGAGGCTCTGTGGCTAGATGACTTCTCCTCAGGATGATAGGGCCAGAGGCTTGGTTTTTGTCACTGTCCTCCACCCCAGGGCTGAGCTGGCCTAGGGAACCCCAGATCAAAAGACAAGACACAAGACACGTTAATTTTATTAATTTAAGAAGTGTGCCCCCAGACCGCCTGGAATTCTGTTGTCCAGCCCAGTCTCTCCCTGTAGGAAAGAGTATATGGCAAAATCCAATGAAGACCAAGAGGTTTCATGATAAGAACGGAGGACTTGGATGGGAATAATGGCAGGTGCCATGGATTTATGATGGATTGAATGTGCATTTCCACTGCCAAGATGTTTGGAAGACTGAGTCAGGAAATCGCCACCCCTCGGTTCCCCAGTAGCTGCTCCTCTCAGCCCATTTAGCTTGGGCTATGATACACTCACGTGTGGTCCATCTACCCTTGAGGACGCTCTGCGGTGGAAGTGGGTCTCTTCGCTGTATTCTTGGAGACCATGTTGGGATGTTTGCTTCTATAAATTGCTAATCTTACGGTGTGTGCATTTTTAACTAGTTTAGCTTCCCCAAAATAAATTTGTCCCCCAGCCCTGGTGTGTGCGCCCCCTGCCGCCTAACTGCTATGCTGACTTCAGCACCCTTCTGTCGCCCAGCTCTCTTGGCCGGGGGTGGGGGTGGGGGGTGGCCAGGGGAGATCAAAAGAAGACACAGGAGGGAAAATGCAAAAAGGTTAATTTGAATTTTCTAGGAATTCTGGAGAGAGGGGCCTAAAGGGCAAATAGTTTGCCTTGTCTTCCAGGTATTTCCTTATTACAACACACGTAACTTCTCATAACCTTGTAACCTGAAAGGATGAGCTTTTAACACTTGGAGCTCATTGGCGGCATCTCCAGATCTTGCTGCTCTAACCTTGGCCTCTGTTTTGCTCCCCCAGTGAACACCGAGAGTGAGACCGCGGTGGTGAATGTCACCTATTCCAACCGGGAACAGACCAGGCAGTGAGTGGGCTGGAAGGCGAGGCGGGGTGGGTCTTCGCGGGTTGTTGGGAGCCAGGTGCACGGGCTTCTCCATAGCTGGGGTCCAGGCAGGCAAGAGCGCCTTCTGTTACTGGGATAATCAGTCGCAGACTCTCTTTGGTTCAGGTTCAGGGATCTCAAGGTTTCAGAAACTTATCAGGATTGGTAGCAAATCCATGGATCCAAAGACCCTCCCAGGAAAGGTGGGAGATCCTCTGTAGGAGAAAAAGTGGGCTTTGCGTTGGGTCTCCAGGTGCCCCAGCACTGCCAGCGTCCTTTGCTGTGTTGACGGCGCCATCTAGTGCTAGTGAGGAGGAACTGCGAGGTTTACAAAAGGGATTTGTTCGCGTTCTGATGTGGCGGGGGCAGACATTTTATTGCGGTGATGCCACGAGCCCCGATTGTGTTATAGTCCCATCACACCTACGCTTTCTAGCTCCTTAAGCCCTTTGGTTGAGGAACTACACGTCTCACCCACTGGTACTGACAGACTTTGTACACTTAGTTCATTTACCCACTTATATCCCACCCGCTACAGGCTTTTTGCCACATTTAGCTTTTGACAGCTTTCTTGTGCCTTCAGCATGCTGCCTCTAGCTGGGTTGATGGTACATTTTAAAGATTTTATTTATTCATTCGAGACACAGAGATAGAGTATGAGCAGAGGGAGAGGCAGAGGGAGAGGGAGAAGCAGGCTCCCCGCTGAGCAGGGAGCCCGATGCGGGGCTCAATCCCAGGACCCTGGGATCATGACCTGAGCCAAAGGCAGACGCTTTAACCATCGGAGCCACCCAGGCGCCCTTAAAAGTTTATTTTTAACTTCTCTCTACACCCGACGTGGTGCTCGAACTCAGGATCCCGAGATCAAGACTTAGCACACTCTACTGACCAAGCCCGCCAGGAGCCCTGCCCCCATTTTCTTTTAAGTGGCTCTCTGGGCTCAGGATTTTCTGGAGGTCCCTACTGCCCCTTGTGGCTAGTCTGTGGTCCTTAGCCTGGCTCTAAAGGTCTTGTCAGTACTCGGCTTACTCCCCACTGCCTGTAGCTGCCTTGTTAACATTTCTAACCTGCATCAGCGGGTGTGGAACTGGATGGAGCTTGCCTCCTCCCCTCCCACAGTGTTATTCACTCCTGCTTTGCAGACATTCCAGATAGACTTAAACTCCTGCTTCCAAGCTGTAAGCAAGACATTCCATCTCCAACCCTATTTTTTTTTTTTTTACAGTCTCCTCAAACACGGAAGGTGCCAGACTCAACAGGTGTAAAAACAAGTCTCTTGTTTTATCATGTGTTTATTATATTTTTTCACTTATCATGAATCACATGTGATTCTCACATTAATCTTATGAGATGCGTAGTTCTGGCTGGAATTAATAAACCAATTCAAAATTCATTGGGAATAACTTAACTTAGGTTTCCCTTTGATGTCTTCAGCCGTTTAGACTGGCAAGTTCTCTTGAGGTGGAGGTGGGAGTGAGTGGTGGGTAGGTGGTCATCTCCCTTGTTTTTAGTGGATTCCGTGTTGTAACCCAGAGTGCTTTACACACGGAACGCCTTTGGTGTGGTTGGCATGGCGTGACCAGTAGACTCTCCCTCTGTCCTCAGAGCCATCATGAAGCTGAATGGCCACCAGCTGGAGAACCACGCCTTAAAAGTCTCCTACATTCCTGACGAGCAGATAGCACAGGGTCCTGAGAATGGGCGCCGCGGAGGCTTTGGCTCTCGGGGTCAGCCCCGCCAGGGCTCCCCTGTGGCAGCGGGCGCCCCAACCAAGCAGCAGCAAGTGGATATCCCCCTGCGGCTCCTGGTGCCAACCCAGTATGTGGGTGCCATCATTGGCAAGGAGGGGGCCACCATCCGAAACATCACGAAACAGACCCAGTCCAAGTGAGTCTTGGCTGCTGGGCACTGGGAGCTGGGGTGCCACCTGGTAGCACACTGGGGAGTCTCAGTATTTACGTTTCAGGAAATGTTGCCTGGGATGTGTTCCCATTTCTCTTCATTGGGAGATGGGGGTGGTTTCTGCTCCAATGGCAGCGTCCTGGGAAGGTGGGGAATTTGAACGGGCCTGGTGCGTGCCATTTGGTGGCAGTGGCTGGGCCAGACCGTTATTAGTAGGAACGGTTCTAGAATTTCTTGTAGGACGTGTCATCAAGCAAACCTAGTCTAGGTGAGTCAGTCACTCCGGTGCACTGTGGGTTTAGCACTGCCTGTTGGTGGCCACTGGGCTGGGCAGCTTGGCCAAAGCCAGCCCTCGGTAATAGGTCATCATCCTGCCCCATCTCCAGTTCTGCTACTGTTAACTCCTCTAAACTCTTTTAAAATTTGACTTTATTTTATTTTTTTTTTTAAAGATTTTATTTATTTATTTGACAGAGACACAGTGAGAGAGGGAACAGAAGCAGGGGGAGTGGGAGAGGGAGAAGCAGGCTTCCCGCCGAGCAGGGAGCCTGATGCGAGGCTCGATCCCAGGACCCTGGGATCACGACCTGAGCTGAAGGCAGACGCTTAACGACTGAGCCACCCAGGCGCCCCTGGCTTTATTTTTTTTGTTTGTGTATAGTGACCCCTCTTCTCTAATCTTTATAGCTAATCAGGTTCCTCTGGAAAAGAACAGGTCGCACCATGTCCTTATTCCGAATGCATCCTTTGTTATTTACTTTTAATTTGGGACAGTGTGCCTTCCCTTTATAGTTTTACGGGGGAGAATCCAGCATTTAAGGGGAATGCAGCTTTAGAGCCCTGTGGGCTGCTGATTGCCAGCCCTGTGTTCCCATGCCAGATGCCACCATCATCCGTCCCCACCCCCCCCACCCCCCCCACCTCCTGACTGGGACAGAATCCAGAGCAGCAGGCTGGCCTGGGTTCCCCTGGCCTTTTCTCTGCCCTTCCCTGTTCTGCACTGGGACTTGTTGCAGGAGCCGTTTCTGTACTTCTGGTCGAGGAGAGGTGGTAAGGAGGGTGAAGAAGACTCTGGGTTTCACCAGGGACCCCTAACCATCCTTGACCTTGTGGTCCTTAGGATAGATGTGCACAGGAAGGAGAATGCAGGCGCTGCAGAGAAGGCCATCAGCGTCCACTCGACCCCTGAGGGCTGCTCGTCTGCGTGTAAGATGATCTTGGAGATTATGCATAAGGAGGCAAAGGACACCAAAACGTAAGGCTCTCATTCAGCGTTTCTCGTAATGGGGGGAGTGCCACCTCCCCCGCTCCTACACACTTTTTCTTCGCAAGAATGCAGGGATAAATAGGTGACAAAGGACACGAACTGAGACACGAGGTCCTCTTTCGCACAAGTAACGCCCTGTGTACCCTCTTAGCAGTTCTGTGCACTGACAGGCGTGTGTGTGTGTGTCTGTATACGGCGTGTGCACAGGTGTGCATGCGCATGTTTTAGCACAAACAGGACTGTAACGAACGTGTTCTGTAGTTAGCTTTTTTCACATTTATGGATCAGTAATTACTGACCCACCTCAATTCTTTCTAAAACTGCGTGGAATTCTGTAGTGTGGCTATTTAAAAGTATACAACCGAATGAGTATTAACATGCACATACCTGCAACACCACCACCACGGTGATGGTAACGAGCATGGCCATCACTCTGGTAGTCCCCGTGCCCCTTGGCGGCCCACCCCCACTTCCCCATTTCTCAAGCGCTAAGCAACCACCAACCACCAATCTGTTGATTTTTGTCATCTCTTAAAATGTACTTTTGTCCCGGAAACCCCACATCTGCGGTGGCATGCTGACCGTGTCTCTGCGTGGCCCAGCATTTAACAGCTCCTGTCCCTCTCTCCTTCCCAAGGGCCGACGAGGTTCCCCTGAAGATCCTGGCCCATAATAACTTTGTGGGGCGTCTCATTGGCAAGGAAGGGCGTAACCTGAAGAAGGTGGAACAGGACACAGAGACGAAGATCACCATCTCCTCGTAAGGCTCTCCGTTACCTGTCTACGGTGGGGTGCCCGCGGGCTCAGGGCCGGCAGTGTGTCATTATTGGGCCTTCATGCTTGGCCCTGTAAGTTGGATGCACTTTCTGCTCTATTGAAGAATGGTCAGGGACATGGCAAAGAGCGTTTGTCTCTGTGAGGGCTGGGGTTCCTGGAGCACATCCTTCCGTCCTCTGGCCTGCCCATCGCTCCTATCCCCTGCATCGCAGAGAGCCTGCAGCTAGGGCGGGGTCTCAGGCATGTTTGCCGGTCCATGGGAAGCAGACCGACTCAGGTCCTGGTCTGAGGATTGGGTGTCGGGGCCTGTCTCCTGGAAGAACCAGAGCCAAGCAGATCGATTAACTCTTCTGTGAGCACTGTGCCTCTTCATTTCATCCCAGACTCGCTCTGTTCCAAAAGTACAGGAAATGGGTTGCCTAGAACCACTGGAGAAACTTCCAGTCCTGAGCATCCTCCTTGCTTTACCGGTGATGAAAACCTGTGATTGGACTCATCGCAAATCGAGGGGTTTCAGTTGGGTGTTCTCCTCTCCCTGTACTTTGCTCCCTCCCTGCCCGGGTTACAGACTGAAGGCCAGAGACGGGGAGCTGTTTGCTGAAAGTGAAACAGCCTGCAGGACCTGTTTCTGTGGCTGATTCCCAGCCGTGGCCCCTTCCTGGTGGGAGGATGACGTGGCTCTGCTCTCCCGCCAGGCTGCAGGACCTCACCCTCTATAACCCCGAGAGGACCATCACTGTGAAGGGGGCCATTGAGAACTGCTGCAGGGCGGAGCAGGAGATCATGAAGAAAGTTCGGGAGGCCTACGAGAATGACGTGGCTGCCATGAGTGTGAGTGCCAGAGGGCCAGGCACCCTAACGCTCTGAGCCTGGGGCACCGCAGATGGGTGTCTCCACGTGGGGTGGGCCGGCCACACGCCTTTGGATCTCCAATCTTCCAGATCTTTTACGTTTGATGAATAGAGATTCTTTATCTGATTCCCGAGGTGGGGGTTGGGTTTCATCTTGGGTTTCAAAGTCTGTGGTCTTCCTATAAGATTGGTGTTTGTGTGTCCTTCAGTGAGGAGAGGGGCCGTAATTTTCATCTGATTTGTTTTTTTAAGATTTTATTTACTTACTTCAGAGATAGAGAGCACGAGAGCCAGGGCGAGCCGGGGGCGGGGGGTGGGGTGGGGGAGGAGCAGAGGGAGAGAGAAGGACAAGCCGACTGTGCACTGAGTGAGGAGCCCAACTTGGGGCTCGATCCCACAACCCTGAGATCATGACCTGAGCCGAAAAGAGTCGGACACTGAACCGTCTGAGCCACCCAGGCGCCTCTCATCTGATTTTTAAAAGGGAGTGAGGATGTGGAGAACAGGAAAAAAGGTGAGCCCTGGAGTCCAACGGAAATCTGTTGCTGCTGTGCCTTCTCGTAGGAATGTTCCAGGGCAGGGTTAGTGGAGTAAACCACCAGAGAGATGGGACATCTGAGGCTCTGGTTGACCCTTCTGGTTGGTGTCGCTGGTTCTTGGTCCAGCAACAATGTCCCATCACTCACAGCTCCACGCTCTTAAGTGTATGTGCGTGAGAACCGGAAGGGCGGGCAGGTTTTGTGCAGAAGCACCCCCCCCCCCCCCCCCCCCCCCAGCACTGCCTTCTGGATTCAGCCAGAGCCTGCATCACGAGCTGACCTCTCCCTCCTTACCTTCCTTCCCCAGCTGCAGTCACACCTCATCCCCGGCCTGAACTTGGCGGCTGTAGGTCTGTTTCCAGCCTCGTCCAGTGCGGTCCCGCCACCTCCCAGCAGCGTCACTGGGGCTGCTCCCTACAGCTCCTTTATGGTAGGTGCAAGATCTCCTCACGGGGCCGGGGGGGGCGGCTGGGCCCTTCCATGGCCTCCCTTAGGGTCCAGCCCCCTGCAGGAGCCTGATGCTTGGGAATTTGCAGAGAGAGGGAAGGGAGGTCTGGGATGCCCCTCTTGGGCAGTACTCCCAGCCGTGTGCACAGCGTCTCAGATGCCGCCTGGGTTGCCGGCAGCCCTCTCCCTTTGTCCTTGGGGGCCTGGGGAGAGCCAAGGAGTGGGTCGCCCACGTTGGCCACCAGGTGTCCGCCGCCTTCTCTTTGAGGCTGCACGCCCTGGGGGTGTGGAAGGGCTTCCAGGCTGTGTCCCTCGCCCCTGGTTGTAACACGCCCTGTCTCGGCAGCAGGCTCCAGAGCAGGAGATGGTGCAGGTGTTCATCCCGGCGCAGGCAGTGGGTGCTATCATCGGGAAGAAGGGACAGCACATCAAACAGCTCTCCCGCTTCGCCAGTGCCTCCATTAAGGTGACCTGCTCTGCCTCCTTCCGGGTCCTGGGAAGAGGGCAGCGCCCTGCTTCCACCCCTCAACCTTTCTTTCCGCTCTCGTGTGGTCTGTTTCTCTGACAGATTGTCGGCCCCTTTGCATATGACCTTGCCCGGGGCCTTCGGCGCTCCTGGGCTTCTGGCCAAGGGAGGAGGTGGAGTTGCCGCATAGGAGGATCGCCTAGGTTCTGGTCCAGACTGACATGGGTTCAGCCCACAGCCCCTAAGCTAAGGCCGTCAGCCTCAACCACTGTTCCCTTGTCACTGCGATCATTGTCCTAGTGCCGTGAAGTGACGCAGCCGGTGTCCCACTCGGCCAGCGCCCGGCGCTCAGGGGGGTGGGCTGGGGGTTTGCGGTAGATGCCAGCTGTGTTTTTGCCCCCCCTTGGCCGGGGTCCAGCGCAGAGAGAAGGGAGAGTTTGTCCTCGTGAGAGTTTCACAAGCCTAAATCCAGTTGTGTCGGTGGCCCTAAAGGACTTGGTCATGACCGGCGCAGGGATTCTTTTCTGCTGAAGTGTGGTTCCCTGCCCTCCTCGCCGTGGGCATTTTGTCTATTACCCCCTCTGGGCAGGACCCCATGGAGGCCTCGGCGGGAAGCTGGGAGGGTGGGCGGTGAGGAGGGAATGTCCCACACGCACCCACGTCCTCATCACATTTTCGGTGCAAGGGCAATGCCCTTGGGGCTCAGGGCCTTTGTTCTCACCTCTCCTAGCCCTCGGAAGTAGGTGGTGGAAGTGGGGTGGTGGCAGGGCGCTTGGAGGAGGTGGAGGTAGGGGGCACCTCTTTGACCAGATCTTTGCTTTCTAGATTGCTCCTCCTGAAACTCCTGACTCCAAAGTTCGTATGGTCATCATCACTGGACCCCCAGAGGCCCAATTTAAGGTTCTCATCTTTGTTTTTCCAAAGAAAAGGAGTCGAGGTTGGGTGGGAGTGCAAATCTGCATAACACTTTCCTTAAAAAGTTTTTATCTATTTATTTAAGTAATCTCTACACCCAGTGTGGGGCTTGAACCCATGACCCCCAAGAGCAAGAGTCTCATGCTCTTCTGACTGAGCCAGCTGGGGGCCTGAGGACAGCATTGCAATGCTGCTTTCAATTTGGCATCAAACTCAACTTTTGTTGACTTCTTCCCTCTTCCTTCTGAAAGTGAACAGAACTACGGGACAGAAGGAAGGCTGAGGGCTTCTTTCTGGTGCCCTGCCTTAGTTAGGAAGGAAGATCTTTGATGCCCAGTTCCCTTCTCTTTTTCATGTCCTACTGCATTGCTGGGTCCCTGAACTGCTGGTCACAGAGCCAGAGAGCTAACAGTTAAGGTAGCTCCTGCTGACCTAGGCAGGGATGGAGAAGGGGATGCTCTCGAGGCTGTGTGGGCTGTCCGACAGCCTGTCCTCTGGCTGACTTGATCAGCTGCCTTATTCACCTAAATGGGATCATCCCAGACCCTGTAGGGTTGTGTAGCTTATGAATTGTACTTCTGGGAAGTATGTGTTCAGTTACTCTACCCAGGCTCTCCAGTATTGCAAGTAAGCAGAAGGAACAGGTCACTGCTCTTGGCCATTTTCATATCCCCTGGTGTAGATGGCTGATGCACTCATGGGCTGGGCCTGTGGGGCCAGAGAGGATGGGTTGGAGCTTGGGGGCTCTATTTCCACGTTTACCTCACTTTCCTTTTGTCATGTGTATGGCCCGCTGATTAACAAGGACCTCCTCCTCTCAGGCTCAGGGAAGAATTTATGGAAAACTCAAGGAGGAGAACTTCTTTGGTCCCAAGGAGGAAGTAAAGCTGGAGACCCACATCCGGGTGCCGGCGTCAGCTGCCGGCAGGGTCATTGGCAAAGGCGGCAAAACGGTGAGCCTTCAGACCAGGGATGAACCTTCCAGATCTTAGTCCTCAAACCCCATAGCTCTGCCCTGGCCTCCTAACTCCCCTACCCCGTACAATAAGACTCCCGACTTTCTCCTTTACCCAGTTCTCCTCCCCAGCCCGGCTCCCGGGTCCTCCAGTTACCTGCTAGGGACTCGCCTCTTGCCCCTCCCTCCAACCCCCTCCGTGCTTTCTTGATAGCACCCCGAACTTCTCTCTGCCCCCCACCTCCCCCAGGTGAATGAGTTGCAGAATTTGACAGCAGCCGAGGTGGTGGTGCCAAGAGACCAGACCCCGGATGAAAATGACCAGGTCATCGTCAAGATCATCGGACATTTTTATGCCAGCCAGGTACATGTGGCACAACCTCCCCCACCCCCCCCACGCCGCTGCCACCTCATGGGAAGATAGCAGGAGCCCAAGGGTTGGAGAAGCAAGAGGCCAGATGTTGATTTGCATAGCTTTGACCATGGCTTTGACCAGTCCCGTGGACTTCTGCCTGCCTCTGGACGGGGCCATTCTTTTCCAAGTGTAGGACTGTGGTGTGTAGATGTTTTATCCCCTCTTAGAACTGTAGGGAAAGTGATTTGAGAACTTCTATATATAGTATATATTCTATATAGTGACTAGTATTTTTCTGTGTTACTTGCTGTATGTTAAGTCTTTCCTGTTGTCTGATTTTAGTCCTTCGCTCAACCCTTTTGCACCAGATAAGAAAGGAAATTGGCATTACCCACCACCCAGTCTTGTTTGTGGAATAATAACAGTGGTAACAGCATTCTGGATTGCCTTTTTCCAGTGCAGTCCCTTTGCCTTTCTCGCAATGACTACTCCATCCCTGCTTCCAGTTCTACTGTCCCATTCCAGAACTCACCAGCCCCACACCACCTCCAGGGGCCCAGTCGGCACTGCCTGGCATGGGGACTGACCCCAGAGTCTGGAAAGAGGGTGGATATCAGGTTCAAATGCTCCGAATCTTAAAAGTCAGAGAAAGGTTGATTGAAAGGTAGTGAGGTTTCCCTAAAATCATCCGGCGTTGGGACTGGAAGGGATATGGAGACTCCTGGACACAAGCTCTTCTCTTCAGAGGAGACACTTCCAAAGCTAGATGCTGCCTAAGAGGTCAAGGGCAGTACAGGATCCCGGAGCCCCGAACCCCAGCTCTTGGCTCCCGGTGTGGGGTGGCCACACAGTGCCAGGAATGGGTTTTGGAGGCAGAGGGCTTTGCACTCAGACCCCACATGGCCTTTCTGCTGTATGGCCTTGGCTAAGAAACTTTCTGTGACAGTCCTTGGAGAGGTATCAACAAGAGCCACGATAGTATCTAAGACTTAATGGGTGCTTCTGATATACCAGGCAGCATTCTGTGTGGTTCACATATATTAGCTCATTTAATCCTCATGACAACCTCATTGTACAAATGAGGGGTGTGGTAGTGTGAAGGATAGATCCAAGGATGCACAGAGCCAGGATGTTCTCAGTACCAAAGTGGGGTGGTGGTGGTGGTGGTGGTATTTTTCATGGGTTAGAATGAGAATTAGAGGGAAATCTTTGGGAACTGTCCGCTTGTGGCTGACTGAGTAGGAAGTGATATAAATCCTGAGTCCACAGCTTTTCCCCCACCTACACCACCTTTCTCTTGAACCAAGAAACCAAGCACTCCGTTTATGGAAGGAAGCGATTCTGGTAAAACGGTTAGGGGCACCCTAACTGTTGCAGTTGGTTTCCCTTGCAGAACTCCGTCCTTAGCGAAGAAACCTTTAAGAAGGAAAGAGTAAAGAAACAGATCCTTGGGTATTTTGTCCATGTTTTACGGTGGAGCTTAGGTTTCACTGCTTGTTTGTAAGTCTGTGTCTGGACGTTCCATCCCCTTCACTGGGAGTTCTGATTTGTGAGGAGGTCTCCTACCTGATGATCCTCTGACCAAACATACACCTGGAAACTCCAGGGGTTTTATTTTGAGCTCAGTAGCCTGTGTAGCAAGTTTGTCAATTTTTCAATTCTGGTGAATGAGTTTGTACTCCGTCCGCTCCCCGCCTCCCCACCGTGGTGGGGGCTGCTCAGGACCCACGGGGAGGCAGACAAACTTTAGGTCCCACTCATTCTCTCTCTCTCTGTTGTGTTTGTTGCTGGTGTCTAGGTCCCGATGGCTTCTCTCCCCTGGGGTCAGTCTCTCTCCTTGCCTTTGGGGATCTTCACTCTTGCCTCTTCTCTGGTTCTCCCACAGATGGCCCAGAGGAAAATACGAGACATCCTGGCCCAAGTTAAACAGCTGCACCAAAAGGGACAGAGTAACCAGGCCCAGGCACGGAGGAAGTGACCAGCCCCTCCTCATCACGTCGACTCAAGGACAACGGGCTGAAATCGAGAGCGCGTTCTCCCCAGCAGGCCTGAGAATGAGTGGGAATCAGGGACACTTGGGCCGGGATGTAGATCAGGTTTGCCCACTTGCTTGAGAAAAGACGTTCCAGTGAGGAACCCTGATCCCTCGGCCCCACACGCCCAACCAATTGGCCCGACACTGCCCACCCCTCAGGGTGTCACCATGGAAATTTCTAGCTCAGGGTGCTTTTAAACGTGGATTGTTTAAGTAAGTTCTCCAGGTCCCACCGAGAGGGTGGGTCAGACCCCAGTGGGAAGAGAAATAAAATTTCCTTCAGGTTTTTCAATCATGCAGAGGGGTGTTTTAATCAGCCTCAAAGGATGGTTTGCTTCTTGACCCTAAAATCCTTCCAACCTTCTCCTGCTTGGTCCGTTGATTAAAATACCTCTACTCTCGTGCCCTGACATAGCCTCTTCCTATATAGCCTCTTCCTATATTCACACGAATTGTTCTGTTACTGCTACCAGAAAAAGTGGGAACCAGTGCATTGCTTTGCTTACGTTATTGATTCAAAGGAGCAGACACACCAGCATCTGTAGTTTATTATCCCACTCCGTCCCTAACCAACCAATAGGAACAGCAAGGAATAAAGAATGGGGGAGAAATATGATTAAAATATATAGTAATCCACGTTTAAAAGGAGTGCCCTTACGGCTGATCTAGTCCAGATCACCATCTTGAAAAATTGGCGCAATTAAAATTTTCTCCGCTCTGTCGGGACATCCCCACCAAGATTCCCTGCCCCATTCACGTCCTCCTACCCATCTAGGTGCACATGGGTGGTACTGAATGCTCAGCGGGATAGGGGATGACCACTGTACTGTCCCTGATTCCCATCATTCTCAGGCAGATTTTATATTTTTTTAAAGTCTATTTTAATGATTGGATATGAGCACTGGGAAGGGGACATGACTCCCCTTGATAAAGTCTCAGTTCCATGGAGGACTTGAGTGGCCCCAAAGGCTGCCACTGTGCCCTCACTCCAGCCCATGTGCTCCTATAAGGGCTGGTTCCCAGAGGCAGGGGTTGCGGGGCACTCCCCCCCCACGGCACTGTTCCCTTGGTGGTGGTGGGATGTGGAACCCAACCCTGAGCTCCCGGTAAAGCTGAAGCCCGTCATCTGGCATGTATTACGAATATTCAGTAAATTGGAGAGTATTTGCTTCTGTTTTTATCCTAGAGGCGTATTTAACCGATGGCTTCTGCCTCTGTCAATCATTGGCATGACCAAAGTTGTGCCTGAAAACAAAATTCAAAATACCAGCAGCATTATGCACAAAAGGGGTAAATAACCTTAATTTATTAATTTACTAGGCTCAATAAGATCCAGTTGGAAGTTCAGCTCTTATGGAAGACGGCAGCCATCAGTTAAATGAGGTTAGGCCTCCCCTCCGAATACACTGATTGTCAATGCATATTAGCCAGGTGGTGCACTTTAGCTACCTTGGACAATGCTATCAAGTGTGCTGGGAAGGGAGGAAGGCCTCTCTGCATGTGGAAAAGCCCATGCGTGGAGTCCCCTCCTTCCAACACTGCCACAACGACAGTAGTAATAACGAGACAACCATGACACGTGGGCGGAGTCAGTCAGGTAATGCTGTGCGCGAAGTAAACTACCTCAAGGTATGAAGTTACCTCAGCAATTACTTTCCTTTTTGTTGCCCCCGCCTTTTTTTTTAACCTTTTTTTTTTCTTTGCGGCTTGCTGATATTTTATATAAAAAAAGAAAAGCAAAGCAAAAGAGAAGCTGATAGTCTTGAATATTTTATTTTTTTAATGAAAAGAAAAAAAAACGAGAAAGTTATGTTTCATAATTTCTTACAACACGAGCCAGTGTAAGCCTTTAGGATCTCTCTATAGAGAACAGGCCCTGTGGGCAAGGCAGGAGGGGCTGGCTCTTTGGGAGGAGGCTGGGGCTGAGCGCGCAGTCCTGAGGTTGAGAGAGCCCAGGGGGAGGCCCTGATCTCTGACTCCCGGATTCCTACGCCACTGGGGCCTCTCTCCTGATCTGCCTGTTGGGATTCAGAGACCTAGCAGAGCTGTAGGCCTCCAGGGGCAAACAACAGTCCCTAGCAACCGGCCCCTGACGTCCGCCCCCTCTCTCCCTTTTTGGTTAAAGGGCATCCCAGCCAGTTTTTCCCACCAGTGGTGCTGTTGAGATATTTAAAAATATTGCCTCCGTTTTATCGAGGAGTGAAATAGTAACTAAAAAATATACCCATTTAAAAAAAAAAACAACCCTCTATTTCTCTGTTTAGAAATATGGGAGCCAGATTCCATTGGTGGGAGAGACAAAGCTGCTCTCTCACCTTCAGAGAGGTCCACCTGGTTTGTCATTGCAATCTTTTTCTTTTTCCTTCTTCTTCTTTTTTTTTTTTTTTTTGTTATTTTCATTTCAGTCCCATCTTGCTGTTCTTTTTTGGTCTATGTCAACAGACCAAGGAGCAGACAGACACTCGGATGACTGCTCCCGTCTCCTCTGTCTTCTTTAGATTGATCTGATTGATTTTAACAGTGGACCGAAACTAAAGGAATTACTAATTTAGGGTGGTGGGTGGCCACGAGGGGTAGGAGGTATGGGAATGTGATTGGGGACAGGTTCCTGCCTCGCTCATGTCTTACCCCTTTGTCCCCATGACATTCCTTTTTAACCTCCAGAAGGGTCTACCCCAAAGAGAGGAGGATGCAGGAGAGCGTTTAGGGGTAATACGAGCTTCCCACCTGTCCTAACCCACAAAAAAAAGGGGGGTCTCCTAACTTCCATCTCTGGCTCTCTCTGCTTTATCCCAAAATGAAGCAGATAACATTCAGACATCGGCCATTTGGTGATTTAAGGCGAATTTCCAACAGCAAGCATGCTTTAATATCTGGTTCAGACTACCAGCAGGAAAAAAACAAAAACCACCCACAGTACCTGAAATGTGATTGTTGCAGTGTTCAGTTTCCTTGGAATCCTGCTCCCTTCACACCTTAAGCCCACATCCTTTTCCTTTGGCTGGTTCAGCTCTCAGAAGAGATCAGGAAGTGTGGCAAGGGACTATCCAATATGAGTTGAATTAGCACGGCTCCACTCATTGCTGACATTTGCCCAGCAGGAAGGTTGTGAAAGTTACCCTACCAGAAGCAGAAGGAATATGGTTTGGTGGTTAAAGTTTAGGGGAGATAAGGACCTGTCTTGGTGGGCCCACCTTTGACCCCTAGGCTAGGCTAGGTCTTGGGCCAGTTCCTTGTCCTCCCGAACATCACCTCCATTTCCCCATCCTTGGCGAGAGAAGTCAACGTGAAAAGCACTTGGGAGATTTGGATGATCTGAGAAAAGCGACTTTTTAAAAAACCACTTCTTATACTCGAAGATTATATATATATGTGTGTGTGTGTGTGTGCGCTACATATATATTTTTAAGAAAGGACCATCTCTTTGAGATAATATTTTTTAATTCTGTGGAACACACAAAAAACCAAAATGGTTTGATTCACTAACTTTGAAGCTGCATCTGACAGTTAACACCCCGATGGCTTTAATCCCCTCTAGGATCTGGTTGCCTTTTGCAGTTTGGATTGTGGACTCAGCTCCTCGGAGGGGTCTGGGTAGGAGAGAGCCGAGTGGAGGGACAGGGAATTTTATCCCCTGCTGCTCTCCACTCCCCCCCACACACACCCCAGGTCCTTGTTAGTCTTTATTCCTTTCCTCGTGAGCTCTCCACTTCCAGGGGGGCGGTTGGGAGCTATTGCAGCAAAGACCCCGTGTAAAGCCCAGAGAACACTGGGGGGGGGGGGGGACACTCCAGGTGGCTCTTTGTCCGTTTTCCTCTGTGCCAAAGACAGACAGACAGAGGCTGAGAGAGGCCGCTTCTGAATCAAAGCAGTAGCCATCTTTCAACATAGACTTGGGCTGTCTGGGGGGGGGGCTCCTGGAGACAGTGTGAGCTAAAGACGCGTCCCTTCCCTTCTGAGGCTCCTGGGGGACGTGGGGGCGGGACTTGCCAAGGGGTAGGGAGCTGAGAAAGGGGTCCGTTGGCTCCTGGTTGCACTTTGGGGAACGGGGGGGAAGGTTTGGGGCCCCTCCACGTGGGACTGCTCTCCGTCCCCTGCCCCCACTGCAGAGATAGCACGGCGGGTTCCCTTCAGGCCTGGCAGACTGGCAGCGAGGAGGGGCCTCAGTTAGCTCTCAAGGGTGCCTTCCCCTCCTCCCACCCCAGACATACCCTCTGCCAAACTGGGAACCAGCAGTGCTGCGTAACTACCTCACAGAGCCCCAGAGGGACCGCCCGAGCTTCCAGTTCGTGAAGAAGCTGGCACCTCTAGTCAATCCTTTCCTCCCACCTCCCATCCAGGGGTGGGGGGAGATCCTAGTGGCTTTGGCATTCAAACCATGCCACCATTTTGCCTGTTTGTTGAAAACCAGTAGAAGGAGGACAGCACAGCCTAACAAATTGCAGGAAGATGGAAGACATATCCTCAGTGCCAGGGGGCCATAAAGCCATTTCCCTTCCAAACCCTCGATGACTTCGATGCAGAACATTTCTCTTGTATTCAGACTTGGAGTAACACCAGCTGAAAGCTTCGGTTTCTTTCCTTTGGACACAGAAGGCTTCTCTATCGGGGTATGGAGCCGGGAGGAGACCTCGTGACCAAAGGTGGAGGTAGAGGGTGAGGGCCAGATCCCAACCTTGACCCTCGGGCCCATGCACCTCCTTGGGGCACAGCCTGATGATGGCACCCTTAGTAGGGTGCCTTTAGTATGGTTGAATCCGGACTGACAAGACATGAAAGAATTTTTTTTTTTTTTTTTTTTTGAAATGAACTAGCAGGAAGCTCCTCGGGAGCACGTGTTTTGAGTAACCACAGGTGATGGATGCTACGAGTAGAAATGGATTAACTACCTCAATCCTTACAATAAGATTGGAACCAAGGGCGGGGACTCGTGCATGAGGGTA